TTTCCCTACCATGCACTAAATATCGTATCTCCTTCTTGTAATTAAAAGAAGCCCAAGTAGATCTAAACCCTTCAGTATTTAGGGGGAAATGCTTGTAAAGGCAGGGAGGAACAACATAGCTTACCTCATAGCACGATAGAGAGGCCTGTACCAAAGAACATATGAAAGGGGAACACCAAGTAGAGCATATATCACCGCAAGGAAAAATATTTTAACACCTGCACATTGTAAGCTTCACACTAAGATCCAAATCACATCATTAAACTAGAGAGTTGGAAGAATTCTAAGCATAGAAGAAGGAGCATACCGCCGCCTCTAATCCAACAGACAATAACAGCAACTACATTAAAAACTAGACAGAGAACAATTCCTGCAGAGATGTCACATTATAAACAAAAGAAAAATAATTAGATACAAATGAGTTTATAATAGAAGGGACATGAAAAAGATAAACAAGAGTTATACAGGGAGTGATTTTGTGTGGAAATCTATATATATAAAGTTGAAGAGAGATGTTTATTAGATGCCTCCACAAGAAAATATCTTCAATATATTTAATAAAAAGCTGTGTAGAAAGTAGAAACTAAATCACGAAATACACTAATCAGGACTATCCTAAACACCATACTTTCATATCTCCATTCCAGCAATTCGCAATATCCAAAACCAAGTAACCAAGCAGAGCAAAAGATGCCAAAAGGTTTTTAATGAAATATCCCAAAATAAGATCAACCAAAATGAACATAAAATTGGAAGCCCTGACATGAAATGGTTATTCCTCAAACTCCCAAAAAAGAGTCAGAAAACTTGCATTAAAAGCACTTTATTGTGCACAATTCATCCAGATTTACGGCTAATGCCAAATGATCAATATAACAGAACAAAATAACCAACTGTATAATATGGACTCCTACATTGGGAGAAGGGTTCTCATAACACATTGAAAACATTCACAGATAAAAGAACTCAAAATGTGATAAAAACAACTATTAAGTTTTTATCAATTAGCTAGAAGGGGTATAAATAAGGAACAAAAAATTATATTTTATTAATAAGGCTCTGAATGATTGTGACACAAAACACTGACCTAGCACCTCAATTTCTACTAAGATTATGTTTGGACTGATGGAAAGTAATGTAATGCAGAGGAATAAAATGGAATGGTGGCATTAGCTTCCCCTCTAGTGCAGAGGAATAGGGTATGGGATGGAATTTATTCCATTCCATCCAATATTTCTATTTTTCTTCCCCTCTAATTCGGGGGGTATGGGAAAGAATTAATTTATTGTTTCTTTACCATTCCATTCACTTCCCAAATGATGCAATGGAAACTTCCATTCAGTCCATTATAAAATATCAGATCAATTATAAGGTAATTGTATTTCAATCTATACCACTCCATTGTATACAATCCAGCATTAGGTATCCAAAAATTGCCTAAAATTATGATTATCAAGAAACACTTGTATACCCTTTGCTTTGGTGGAACTACAAGCAGTTACTAAATACTAACTAAACCAAAAAGACATAATAATAAATTATATTTCCCAACAGCAATTAAGTAACCAACCAATCAAATATTGAATAAATAGATAATAATTAAGCAGTCATACCTAACCAACTAGCAAAGGCCAAATATTGCAGCCTTTGAGCATGAACTGGTATCTCATTGGCAATATCATGGTGAATGATTGGGAAAAATGGAGGCCAATTCTTATCATCAACAGGCACACCGGCTGAAAAGCAGATTTATATTTTAAACAAGAAAAAAAATGTTATTGACTCGGCAAAAATATAGAGATCCAATGAAAAACACTTGATTGAAACAGCATGGTGGGGTCTCATCATTCACCTCTAGAAACAGCCTCTTCTCTTTTTTTTATTTCCTACATATGCATTTTGGAAAAGTCACAAAATCAGCAAAAGCAAAGGATGACCAGTTGATTAACAGTGCCAAAAGTAAGAACTTGCACATGTAGGTAGTTAAGACTTAAGAGAATATTAGCATATCACTGTTGATATTGACAAATGACAATAAAATCAATAAAACAAATGCTAAAAACCAAAATCTGCAACAGTAAATTGTTAAATCAACCTTCTCTCTCCGTTTTAAATCTGCTTCCCAAGCTGCTAGCTCTTGACCTTTTTTCTTAGAGTCCTATATAACAATATGGAGAATAAATCAGACACATAAAAAGAATCTCACAGTCTTAAGGAAGTCTCTGAATTAGTAATGAGATTACATTTGTATTATCCAAAGGAATATCAACTGTAGCATCATGCCTTTGACCAAATCCCAGAGGCTCAGATGCTACTGGTGGAACTCGTGATTTTGATGCAGGAGCAGCACCACCATTCTGTAAGAATAAATAGAATGAAAAAACACCACACCATGACTTAAATTAAACAATAAAGCATCAAATGGAAAAGAATTCAAGTCTAGAAATTTGCACCAGAAATGACAACTCTAATGGCCACACATTATTTCAAATTTTCAATTAGTGTGTTCTATAATCAGACATTAAAGTTAGCTCATCAGAATTTACACGGTTTCAATTAGTTATATATCTTGTATGCAGCTAAATTAACTCTGAACTCAAGCTCAAATCAATCAATCGGTTACAATCTGTTGTAAATGATAGAATTACATTAAGGCAAATGTAGCAATTGAAAGCAAACTCACACAAAGATCACTCTGTAAACTGAATCAAATGCAGAACTACCAAACCTGTCATACAATCTCATTTTTTAGAGACAATTTTTTTATACACACAAATACACAGTGGAGCTGTTATTAAACTTTTATTTCATCTCAGTTAATTGGAATTTAAATAGTACACCTACAGGCCCACAACATAATTTGCTTAGATACTACATTGGTCTGAGGGATTTCACAATTCACAAAAGACACGTCTCACGCGGTAGCTGAAGCATTGATAAGTTCTACTTGACAACAATTCAGCATTTGCCTTCATCAAACCCAACGATTCTTCTACACTATGCTTGTCCTAACATTCAAGCACAAGCCCGCACCACGTAAACTTAAGCAGCTCAGATCAATCATTACACACCACAGTTCTTGGCTAATTCCAATTATAGAAATACTCGACATTAAGCCACAATATCGAACAAATAACACTAACAGCTAAGCATCGCATAACCATTTCATGCATCGCACATTTTACAATTCACGAATCCATTCAGTCGAGTAACTCAGAGAACACCATAACGGAAACCGCAAACCTATATATTTTCCAGATCCAAGTCCTCCACAAACATCCACACCAAGCTCCGCACAGATTTGTCTTGTCGGTGCCAATTCAGCAAAAGCTCTATGATTCAGCACACACTCTTTCTCAATTAACAGCGTCCGCAACCAAACGGGAAAACGAGAAAGAAAAAAAAACATAACGATGCAAATCAACCACAGATCCAGATCAAAACGACGAGACACCTAAGCAGTTCCGTATTTATACTCACAAGTTGAACCGAAAATTTAGGGCGAAAACAAGGTTGGATCTGAGTAAGAAACCAGTAAATACAGTAAATATAGATGCGGAAAGAGAGGGAGCGATATTTGATTACCGAAAAAGGATTCACTTCTTCTTCGTCGAAAGGATTGGGATCGTGGTGGCGATTCATGGCGAGAACTCAGTTAGATCCGCAAAAACGTGCGAGGATAACGGCGTGAGGTGCGTGAGCGAGTGAGATAGTGCGTGCGGTGAGAGACCGCACCTTTCTCGCTTTTCTTTTTCTAGCTACCTGGCTTGTTCGCAACGCGGGATATGGTTTTGGATTTGCGAGAAAAAGTAACTGAACTTGAATTTCTACACTTTGCCCCTCTCCTTGCTTCGGATTTACAATGCGTGCCATTGAGTCGGTATGCGGGTGCTGTCAGTGTGGCGTGCGAAGTGGGAACCTTCACGTGATTCTCGCGTGCGGTTTTGTGACGTGGCGAATGTTGGTTGGGTGAGTATGAGAATGGGTGGAGGCTGTGTCACCGGATTAGAGCTCGTACAAGCGGTGACATCCTACCAACTTTATCACTTTCTTATTATTTTTTAATTATTAGTTTTTGAAAAATTAGGCGCAACCGACTTCTCAAGGGACAGATAGGTAAATTTACCTCTCAAGTCGTAACTATTAACGAAGTTTGTCTAGATTAAAAAAGGCGAAACGCGATTAAAAATTTTGAAATTTGAAATCCCGAACAAGGTTTTACGACTTTTTATTTTTAAATTTTAAAAGTTTTCTTTAATCCTGTAAAAAAAAATTGTATTTATTTTAAATTTTAGATCATTTATTTTTTTATCAAAGAAAAATACATTTTTAGTCATTTTAAAAGTTTAGAAACTCAGTTTTAATTTTCTTAAAAAACTGTAGTACTTTTTGCTCTCAAATTTTAAAAAATATATTATTTTTATCCCTTTAAAGTAGTTTAGATAACATACAAGAGTAGTTACAAAAGTTTTATCCTAAACTACTCAAAGTAACGGGTAAAGGATAAATTACAATATGATTTTGGTTCTTTTATTTTTTTTTGTTAATATAAAATTTTGTTTTTTATATTTCAAAATAAAAATATTTAATTTTTATTTTTAAAAATAATAAATTTTAATTTTAACAAATTTTAACATTTCTCATTTTCGTGCATTATCGAGTAATGTAATATTTAATATCATAATATATAAGAATTAAAAATTAAAATAGTATATAAAATATTTTTTATTTATTTTAATGAATAATTAATATTCATTTTATTAATATTTTATTTACATATTTTTGTTAAAATTTTAATTTCAAAATATTATTATTAAATGTCACATCATTTTATATATGTAAATATTAAAATTTAATAATTAATAGATCGTAATTTGATAAGATTAGTTAAAAACTCATATATTTAAAATTAGATGAATTAAAATATTTTATTTTAAAATTAAAGAATTAAAATTATAAATTAATAAAAATAAAGTAACTAAAAATATAATTTAGTCGATTAAAATTAAATTTGAGAAATTATAAAACAATCGATAAATAAGTGAAATACAAATAAGTGGTAATAAGTCTGTGGTACAAACTACAAAGTCTAATTCCATCTTCAGCAACATAAAATACAAACAAGTGATAACAAACTCTTTTTAGAACAAATTTCTATAATTCAATTTGATTATTAAAGAAAAAAGTAATACTCATGCAAATTAATATTAATATTTAATATAAAAATATGAAGAACAAAAGAGAGATGCAAAAATAAATTTAGTATATAATAAAAAGGCTCCATACATTAAGAAAAGGAAATGGGTCAAAGTAGAATGTAGTGTTTTCTTTTTGAATCTGATGGCTGTCATTGTAAATTTGTGATTCTAATGAATAAAAAAAAACTTTTTAATATAATAATTTGAATTAATTCATTTTTATAAAATTATTTTTATCAATCATTAATGTAACTGTTATCATTAATAAAAGATCTTGATAGTGTTCTCATACATTAATCATTAATCAGAAATATATAGGTAACTTACCACATGATTGTGTGAAGAAATTTGGATTGAATATCGTCAAGAAACATACATCAACATCACCGAAGTGGTCACGTAAAAAAGTATGGATCGAATAACGTCAAGTTACTGAGGACACAAACACAAAAGCATATATATACAGAACATATGAATACATAAAGAGATTGGTGGAAACCACATTTTGTGTTACTAAAAAACCAGCTAGTATAAACATGGAAGATAAACTCATGGTGCGGCTACAATGAAAACAATTGTTCGCGACAAACCGGGCAAGTAATTTTTCCATTTGCAGGATGAAAGGCTGGCTACCTTGAGTTATAAACAGGTAAAGCTTTTTCCTGTTCTTGTCAAATTTGAAATAGGAATATGTCATTGTCATAGACCATTTTGTTTATTTTATATGGAACATCTCTTGATGAGAGTAAAAAACGAATTGCTAGAATGATTTGGTATGCATGTAAGATCTTGGGATCAAAATGGTTACTTCTGTTGATGTGCCAAAAGAAAATATTGATTTAGTAGTGTGGTTGCAGGATTATGCAAATCATGGATTGGCATATCTCATCGACTTTGTACATGGAAAAGCACGGAAAATGCCTGAAATTTTGCAGGTTGGAGTTTTTTCTTCAACGTCAGTTATAATTATATTCTCTTTTGCTGTTAGTCACTCTCAAATTACCTTTTACCGCTAAATATACAAAATTATATATGTTCTAGAGGCTGGATTATCACCCTCTTATCTGTAGAGTGTTAAAGTGACAATCAGAGACCTAGATTAGCTTGAACAGGTTATATTTAGAGCCGACTATAAAATTACAGTACTGGCACTTTATTCAGCTCTTCTAATTCTTTGGCTGGCTTTGGTTATTATATCTTCTTGTACTTTCCTGTTGAGATAATGATATGATGTTAATTAGTAAATATTCAGCTGGAGCAACAGAAACTTCCAGGGAAGTCCCCTCATTTGCTCACATATAAAGGAACTCCAAATCTGAAGGTGTTCTTCTACCTTGTGCTTTGTTTTCTACTGTTGTTTTCCTACTGAAAAACGAGTTTGTCTCTAGGTTATATCAGTTAAATGGCTATTAATACTTTTTTGGTGATGTAATTTGTCTCTAGGTTTTGTTACTCATTTAACTATTATAAGATTCATATTAAATTATTATTTTTTTATTTCAATAGACTTTTAAAATCGGTTGTTACATAACCGATTTTAAAAGTCAAGACTTTTAAGATCGGTTATAAATCAACCGATCTTAAAAGTCTACTTTTAAAATCGGTTGATAACCGATCTTAAAAGTCTACCTTTTCAAAATCGGCTCTTTTAAGATCGGTTCCATAACCGATTTTAAAAGTCCAAAATAACCGATTTTAAAAGCCTTTTTTCCACTAGTGCACATTTTGTGTTACTAAAAAACCAGCTAGTATAAACATGGAAGATAAACTCATGGTGCGGCTACAATGAAAACAATTGTTCGCGACAAACCGGGCAAGTAATTTTTCCAGTGAGTAACCAAGAGTTGATGCAAGACGAATGAAATTGATGGTCACAGACTCCAAAAGGCTGAACTAACTCTTTATTCTGAAATTCCTCCATGCAAATAGGACAATCGCATAGGGATTGATGAGGAGTTTTATCTTTGAGGAAGCATGCAACAGGAGGCAAGACTCTCATGCCAACCTAGCAACGTGTGTTTTACGACCAAAAGAAAATAGCAGTTGGTCTCGCCAATGTCGCTCGTTTGTATGCTTTGAGATTCTCCCCAGGCTGCAGAAACTACGGCCGAAAGCCATGTGAGCCATCCTAATACGTATAAAAAGTAATTCTTGGTCATGAACGACACTGCAATTAGAACTATAGCCATCACGAATAGGAAGAAGAATAGCCGTTGCCACATGGTCGCAGCACCAACCTCAGAAGTTAGAGAAACAAACTACGTATCTGAATCGGGAATAATGAAGAGAAAAACTATAGGGCATAAACTAATTAATCAAGAACCTCACTCTGTTTAGGGAATCCATAGGTTTAGGTTAATTTATATTTATTTAAAGATCACAGCTTCAAATCTTTTGGATAAAGTAGATAGATTTTATATTTTTATCCTTTTTTTATCTATTTGTATTTGTTTTTTTTTTAATTCATTTATTAGTTTATTTTATTAATTTGTGTCCATCTAGTTTTATATATATATAGAGAGATTTATTTTATGTAATCAAAATTTATGATAACTAAATATATTGAATATAAAAATTATATTATAATTAAATTTTGTATTAATTTTTATTATATAAATTATATTTTATATTTATCATAAACTTTTCATATTTTATGTAATGCATATGATAATTATTTATTTTATATAACAGCTTTATAATAAATAAATAATTTTAATATATTTGTGTTATAATTAAAATTTATAATAATTATATGATTTTAATGTATAAATTATATTTTAGATTTCTGATAATAATTTATAGTGATATACGAAATTTTGAATATTCATAATATTTAAAAGTTTAATAAATATGGAAAATATATATCGAAAGATATATATATAATAGGTTAAAATAATACTGAAATGAATATAAAAAAATGACATGTTTAAAGAGATGAGAGTTAAAGCAAGTTTTAAAATGATGTAAAGTGATAGTACTTGAATTTTGAAGATAAAACATATATATATTTCTCTTTTTTATGTTTAGTTACTACTTGTAAAATAACATATTGTTCATTTAATATTAAATATACGAGAGACATTATCAAATATATGTTAGGAGTGTGAAGTTTATCTTTAGATGAGATCCAATAATATTTAAGTATGGACATGTCTTATGAGAGAAGATTGGAAGAGTGAAGTGTTTACAAACTAATGAATTATTCTAATTTATCTATAATAATATTTCTATATTATTTATAAAATATTTTTTTTATTTTTAGATTCTTTTAGACATTTATATTTTTTTATTCTATATTTTTTCTCACCATGATATCTCTTAAAGGTAAAATATATATATA